ACAGTAATCCAGTCTAGACGTGATAAATACATGAATCAGTTTTTCTGCATCATTTTTGGACAAAATGTTTCTAATTTCAGTTATTTTGTTTTATTTGTTTTGAAACCAGGTTGTAAAATCTTTATTCTGATTGCTGATTGAAATATTGAAGTTGTGATTTCCTGCAGGATTCCTCAGAACTGTGTCAGCAGAGTTCGTCTCCTGGCGTACGATCCGGACGGAGACGCAGTGAGATGCCGCTTCGCTCCAGACGCTACGGTTCCTTCAAACTTCACCCTGGATGAGGTAACCCCCCACAGAACTGATCTGAGGGAGCAGTAACAGTATGATCTGACAGCTGAATCACTGTGCAGGTGTGCAAATTTATAACATCCTGTGTGTTTGTTTGGTTAATTAATGACTCATCAGACAGAACGAGGACTGAGTGAAGAAAAATAAGTTCTTTAATAACAAAATAAAGAGCTGTTAGAGCAAAGCTAATATGAAGAAGAACAGATTGTCACGAGGTTTGGAGCCAGGAATGCAGACTGACGTGAGGCGATTCAAAAGAAACGAAAACTTTTAACAACAAAAGAAAACACAACAAAAGGAAAGCTGACGAGGYGTGTAAAAAAAACACAATGCTCCACTGAAGCAGAAATGAAAACTCAGGGTTACTGTAACTGATGAATGCAGGGAAACACCTGGCATGATGACAACTGTGGACAGGTGAGAGCAGTGTTGAATAAAGTACCTGAAAGTGATACTTKRGTAAAAGTACAAGTATCTTACCATAAATTTACTTTGGTAAAAGTTCAAGTCTCCTCTAAGAATATTACTTGAGTAAAAGTCTTAAAGTAGCTACTACTATACGTATTTTGAACTTAAGTATCAAAAGTAAATTTCTGACATAAAATGTACTTAAGTATTAAAAGTAAAAGTACTGAGTAAAAATGAGTGGCTAGACCTCCCAAAATGACATTTATTGGGAGTTGAGACCCTCAAAAAAGGTTTTTCTAAAGGGAAAATAGCTATGTTGTCATATAAAAATATTAATGTTAAAAAAGTTAGGATGCACTACACCTGTTTATATATATATATA